GTTGGACATCCCCCGAGGGGTCCCAGATTGGAGAGGGTGCAGGCCAGGCTGAGGGACACCCCCACCCCCTGCAAGAATTTCGTGCACTGGGCCTCTAGTTGTCTTATAATTAAGCAATGTTTTTTAGAAATCAGTATGACAATATGTAGCAAATTTGACAGTTGTAAGAAATTGTATACTCAATTTAGTTACCCATGCCTGCAAGTTTATTCCAAGGATATTATTTAGCAAAAACACACAAAAAATTATGCGCATTAAAACATTTTTGTAAGAGACCCCCTCCTCCCTTCTCCCCAAGAAACATTTTACAGTTTTAGAGTTTCATAAAGTATAGATGATCATAATCAGCATGGGAAAGTGTTTGATATATGCAAAGACAGTGTACAAAATATATGTTAAATATGCTTGTTGAGGACTCTAGGAAGTTACAAATGAAAGTTGCATATAACAGGATTATGCATATAAACGTTTGTATTTTCTTTGTAATACTTGTACCGTTTAGTTTGTATCTCTTTACAATATTTCCCTTTAGAGAAAAGGCTTTTACTGCTGTCTGAATGTGTCTGTGCCTTCTTGAGTGGGACTTTTCGTCTTCTTCTCCTGGAAAGGGGTTTGGAGACTGGGTTGTTGGGTTTGTTTAATTGAGGAAGTTCTGCTGGTTGAGGCCCAAACTAATCTGTTGTTCATCTTACCCTATTTACACACTAATGCCTAAGGCAACTATTTTCAAGCTTTTTCATCTCATGGCACACATAAAGTAATTACTAAAATTCTAGGGCACACCAAAAAAATGCATTTTTTGCCAATTTGACAAAAAATAGGTGTGATTTTGACTCATTCACACCAGACAGCTGTTGTTGTGTTGGCTGTTGTCATTGTTTTATTTTACAAATCTAAGGGCAAAGAGCTCAGTGCCCCGGACTAAATAGTCAGGTATTGCATGTTTTAAAAATTCTTGCAGCACCCTGGTTGAAAATCACTGGCCCAAAGGGATTGGTATGCTGATGACTGTTGGTAAATCATTTTTCCTTGTTTTCCCTCCACGTAGCAAACAAAAAAGCACTTTTGAAGATTAACAGTAAATATGCCTTAAAAAGCCAGCTCTGTTCCTGCCCTCCCTCCTTTTTATAAAAAATATCCATCTTTAAAGCATAACATTGGGAAGTTCTCAGTGTGATTTAGTGCAGGCTCAGCTGTTATCTCAGCTGAAGGGTTCGCTGGAGGCTGGAGTTTCCCCACAGTCCTGACCGCGGAGAGTGGAATGTGGTACTGACGTCACAGCCGCTCCTGGGAATGTTTTGCATTCTTCTTCCTGGCAGTGGTCAGGTGGCTTCCAGCAAGAGTGAAGGACAACAGCTTCCAAAAAAGAAAAAAAGAGAGGAGGAAAAGAACAGTTTATAATCAGACTATTGTGGAGGAGGCACTTTTATACTGAGCCAGAATTGAAATTAGAATCAGATGTCTTGCATTCTGATACTGCACGAATGTTAAATGCATTGATTAATGACTGTAATAGCTGAGCTGTTTGGTCTTTTTACTGAACTTAAATTCTGAAACTCTCTTTAAGGATTATGGGAAAACAACTTCTTGTAGCTGACATTTTAACTATGAAAAGCAGCTTTCTGAGTGTAAAATGAAGAAAAGGCACACTTATTCATAGATGTTTTTAAGGTGGTCTGTTAATCTAAAAATTCGCTTCTGTAACCTAAAATCTCTGTTAAGCTGTTAATGTATTTTGTGCTAGTCAACCATTAATTGAGGGGGAAGTTACATTTCAATTAAAGGTATATGCAGATTGAAATATCTGCTATGAAGTTCTTTTTCCCAAAATGCTTACATTTCCATTGTTATTTCTGTATATTACATTACTGGCCAAGCCAAATAATCTAAACAAAACTTAGCAGCTTCTTAATATAATAAACAGAGGTTTTGCCAAAGGCGTGCAACTCTGTAATAATGTGTGCAACAGAAAGTTGGGCAGTAATTGAATTACATTTTAAATTATTTTGTGTTTTTCTTCTAGCCACTGAAGTACCTTTATTCAAATTTATTATACTGGTTTACCAAATCACAATTTGTATGTTTGTGTATTTTTAAATAAAGTACATTATTCCTTTTTCTTAACCAGTGCCTTTCCATAGATTTTTACTTATTTTGATGAAACAGCAGTTAGATTAACAGCAGTTCTCCAGTTTAAGTGAATTGTGTTTGAATACTTTCTGTTGTACATTGAAATGGAAACTTGGCTTCATGTTGTAGGTCATGTTGCTGGTAAGGAATTTCCAGAAATGTAGAAAAGTGCCGACTCATAGTATACAATGGACTCATCCAGCTACACAGAAGGGCTTGAGGGGGTTTCCTGAGCTCTTGGCTGCAGCAAACAAAATATGCCACTGTTATGTACTATTTTATTTTAGACTAGAGGCCCGGTGCACGAAAATTCGTGCACTTTGGGGGGGTCTCTCAGCCCAGCCTGCACGCTCTCACAATCCGGGACCCCTCAGGTAGGGTCCAGTCCCATCGCAGCATGGCTCTGGTACCCCGGGCCAGAGGGGAGGGACCAAGAGGCCAGTCTGATCGAAGCTAAATTTACTAAATTTACTAAAACTTTAAATATTGGCTGATGGGAATTAAGAGAAAAACTAGGATTTGTTGCCTTTAATTTTCCTGCTCTGTTCAGGTTCCTGGAGCCTGCAGGCAGGTAGAGGGACCACGACTCCCAGATCACAGCATGGCTGGGGTTCCCCAAAGACTGCAGGCAGAGGGGAGGGACCACGAGGCCAGTCCAGTTGCAGCATGGCTCGGTTCCCACAGCTCCCTACTGTCGCCACACCACGGGCAGCTGGGGCCCACAGTTCCCTACTGTCACCACGCCATGGGCGGCCGGGGCCCACAACTCCCTCTCACCACCACACCACAGGCGGCCGGTGCCCACAGCTCCCTACTGTCGCCACACCATGGGCGGCCGGGGCCCACAGCTCCCTACTGTCGCCACACCATGGGCAGCCGGGGCCCACAACTCCCTACTGTCGCCACACCACGGGCGGCCGGGCCCACAGCTCCCTACTGTCGCCACACCACGGGCGGCCAGGCCCACAGCTCCCTACTGTCGCCACACCACAGGCGGCCAGGCCCCAGGACTGACTACCGCTGCGCCAGCCGGGACCCTAGCCTGGTGTTCAGTCGTCTGTCTGGATGTTTAGGTCGTGACAGACCCGGGCTCTTTATATATTAGGATGTAGGGCTGGGGTGGAGGAGGGGCTATTATAATGCTTGGGATAAGATCCTTGATAATAGCTTCCAAAATGGTAAAAGTTCCAGAGTTGGGAGGGGGTCGACGTGTGTGTTTTTCTGCAGTCTGTTAGAATTTGGGAAGCAGGTGGTTTTTGTGATAGTCACCTACTGTTCTCTTCTGCTTCTTGCCCCACTGGTGGGCCCTATGGAATGGGGTGAGCTCTGTAATATGTCAGTCATAGTGGTACTTTATTTTTTAGGAGAATTGGTCCAGGAAAAGGCCTATGGTATTATATCTTTTATGTCTGTGACTAGAAGTCACTGAATCTAATAACAATTTACTAAAAACTTTAAATATTGGCTGATGGGAATTAAGAGAAAAACTAGGATTTGTTGTCTTTAACTTGCCTGCACTGTCCTGGATATTTTACATTTGTTAAAGTGTCTGAATCTGAAGTTACTAATTGAGATTTCTTTTTCATTCATTTGGTATGGAAATGATTGCAAGGTTTGGAGGAGAGGGGCTTTCTACAACAAAAATTCACCTTTCAAACACATCTCCGGTCCCACAGTTAATATATTCCAATGTGTTCATCCATCAGTTTCACAACCATTTACTGAATATCTGCTCTGTGGCAGGCCAGTGCTGGTGCTATTCTACTGATGACCAGAGCCAGGAATATATGTCCGCAAATATGGAAACCATCCCTTCAAGGTTGCTATGGTAGAAATCTAAGGGTAGAACACTATTTTAAAACTATTTTCTGATTTTCTTAAAAGTAGACAAAAGGAAGAAATATGTGCTTTTGAACACAGCCCCACACAGTGGGGACTGCTGTAGAGGCTTAGCCTGCACCTTAGAAAGGCACTGGCCATAGTCGTCTAGTGTGCGCCCCAACGATACGCACAAAGTCAGTTCGCTTTTATGTCTATCAGTGTTGTCTTTTCTAAAAGATGGAGAAGAACTCATTGACCTGTTTTATAGATTGTTCATGAGGGATTATTAATAGAATGAATATTTCCAATATTCATAGTATCTCATATTTCCAAATGTGAGGTATCATTCTCTATCTTTTTAAGTGCATGTTCTCTAAACAGTAGCAAAGAAGGATCTTGTTAACATTTGGCTGATATTCTGTATGAGAACCAAGTGAATACCAATGGGTGGTAGACATCAGCTCTGATGCAACTCAGATAAGACAGTGTTGTGGGGGGCACCCTGGCCAGTGTGGCACAGTTGATTGGGCATCATTCTGTGCACCAAAAGGTTGCCGGTCCCATTTCCTCTCAGGGCCCATGCCTGGGTTTTGGTCTCAATCCCCAGTAGGGGGCTTGCAGGACACAGCCGATCAATGTTGTGCTCTCCCATTGACGTTTCTTTCTTCTCCCTTCTTAAAAAAAAAAAAAAAAGTGATGAAGGGGCACTGAGGGCCTGTCACACTGTCCCCAAAGGCTCCTTGGGAAGACTCATGATCCCTTTGGGCACGTAATCTACAAAGCTCAGGGCCAGAATAATCACATATGTGTTTCTTTAATAATAATTATAGGACTTTAGTGATATATATTTATGTAATTTCTGTCTATTTTTGTCAATAATGAAATTCTAGGATTACATTGCCTAAACTGTCTATACATATCTTGTAAGTATATATTTAATGTTCGTTGACTAAATAAATGAGGTTGCTCTACTTTTCAGCAAATACATTCTTTACTCTGTAGACTCTCATGTATATACACACACATAGTCCATGGTATGCTTTTTAAATTGTGGTAAAATATTCATAACAAAATTTATCATTTAGACTTTCGATGTATTCAGTGGCATGAAGGGCATTCATAAGGTAGTGCAAGCACCACCATTGTCCATTTCCAGAACTTTTTCATCGTTCCCAAACAGAGACTACACCCATTTAAAAAAAATTCCCAACCTCACTCCACACCTTCCCCCCAGCTCCTGGTCACCTCTGTTATACTTTCTATCTCTATAAATCTGCATATTCTAGGTAACTCACATAAGTGGAGACATACAGTATTTGTCTTTTTGTGTCTGTCTTGTTTCACTAGGAGTACTGTCCTCAAGCTTCATCCATGTTATAGCATGTATCAGAATGTCATTCCTTTTTAAGGCTGAATAAATATGCCATTGGACATCTATACACCACATTTTGTTTATCCCTTCATCTGTTGATGGGCATTTGGATTGTTTCCACCTTCTCACTATTGTGAATGATGCTACTATGAACATTGGTATACAAGTATTTGTTTGAGTCCCTGCTTTCAGCTTCTTTGAGTAAATACCTAGGAGTGAAAATGCTTAATCATAGGGTAATTCTATGTTTAATGTTCTGAGGAACCGTTATACTGTTTTCCATACCAGCTGTACCATTTTACATTCCCACCAGCAACGCACAAGGATTTCAGTTTCTCAACATCTTCACTAACACTTGTTATTTTCCCATTTTTTTAAACAGCCATTCTGATTAGTGTGAAGTGGTATTTCATGGTGGCTTTGATTTGCATTTTCTTATGGACTAGTGATGTTAATCACATGATACACTTTTAAATTCTGAAATACCTCCCTGTAAGCAGACATTATTATCTGCAAAATAAAAGTTTGCAACAAAGATACGAAGAGTTCCTCATCGACCCTTCCTTACTCCAATACCAGTGCTTCTCTTGGTGGCTTGATGTGATTTGCATGTCTGTGGCCACAGGCCACCCTTAGATGGCCACTGCTCTCAGAGTTCAGAGAAAGAGTAGGTTTTCCTCCAGTCAGATAGCTCCTCCTCCTCCAACCTATTCTTTTGCTGTATCTGTATCAAATTCAGTAGGTATCCAGAGGATTATGTTTACTTACACAGATCTTAGTTTTAGAAAAGCCAAGCTTTTAACCTAGAGCTGTAATATATAGGCATTAAATAATTGGAAAAGAAAATGTTGTGAAATTAGTACTATACTGTAAGGAAATCATGAAATCAATGAAATGTTTGCTTATTTATCTACTAGTAATTTTATGGTTTTATTATTTATATTTAATGTTTACTACATTTGAAATGTGTTTTGGTGTATAATATGAGATAGGGATCAACTTTAATGTTTTTCCAAATAATTTAATCAGCTTG